GTGGGGAGCAAGGGGGCGCCCTACTCCCAGCTGAAAAACCAACGTGGAGAGCGCAACCGCGAGTTTGAAGAAAAATCTGATTCCTCTGAGCTGCTGAAAGCCTCTGGGATGCTTCGGGAAATGGGCACTTTCCAATGAAGGGAAAGTATAAGCAATTTAACAAATGAGAGTGAGCCCGTGGGCCCAAGGAAGGGGGTGGGGGCAGAGTCCTAAACACTGCCCCTCTGTGGGCTGCCCAGCTTCATCAGGGTGGGTTGGCCTCCCTGAACTGACTTACCATTCTGTAAAGCAATTATCTTCTGATGCTGCTGCTCGGTTAAGGCTGTTAAAGCTTTTAAATGTTTCAAAGTTAATTCCAAGACTACCGCTTTCTCCAGATGCCCCAGAGTCTGCAGTGGTGCAAAAGAGAAGGGGGCACTTGGTTACTTAAAAACACACACTTTGGCTTGATTGGCTCTCCACTCAGCACAGCAACTTAATCAAACATTCTGAAAGACGTGCTATTCCTATACTTCTTGAGCTTTCCAGAAGACGGGTTATACATGATTTCTTGCCTTCAGTTGTGAGCACCTACTCTTGAGTTTGTAGGAAACTCTACACTACAGCACAAGTTGTAAGGCATATGATATTTACATTTATTCTTATATCTCTGGGAGTAGTACCAAGCTATTAACACGCCCCTGGAGAGCAGCAAAGAATGAAAATGTGCATCTTACTGTTAACTTCAGATGTTCAGGCAGTAAATCTTTCAGCTGAGCAATGCATTCATTAATTCGATCTCTTCTTTTCTTTTCTATTAATCTGTGCGGTAATTTGTAGGTATCCTTAATATACGACAATCATGGAAGAAAGAAAACAATAAGCTACACATTTATTGGATAAATCAATAACCCCCCCCCTCAGAAAACCTCCCATATTATGTGATAAACTATGCCCAAGAAACCTTTTCCTCTGGACTGTTCTGAAATGCAATTTGAATTCAGGTGTGATGTTTAATCTCCCCCTGAGAGTATCCAGCAAACCACTTAAAATTCACAGTTGGGGAAGCTCAAGGGCTGGAATATATTTGCGGGCAGAGCTTCGCTGTGAAATCAATGACCCTAATTAACTATCCAGGCAGGTTATGGGGAACATCGGAAACTTACACTTACCTTGCTATCGTCTCGCTTCATGCTCCTTTTGGGCTTACACATATACAAAGAGGAATAGTCCAGTCTGCAAAACAGAAATCAGCATCAGGCACCCATTCGGGGAGGGGCACTGCCCTTGCCCGCTCCATACCACTTTCTGGAGAAGAAAAAAAATCACTCTGAAGCCTAGACAGATATTCGCAAGGGTGCGTGCACCTTACCCTATAAAATCTCTATGTTCCAGTAACTGTCTCTCTTGCAAATGAGGAATTCCTTCGTCCATGTTCAACCGCTGTCCGTTTCCTCTGTTTCGATTTTTGGGGTTCTGTTCTATAATCTGTGGGACGATAGCTTTGGGAGATCTTGGGGGGATCTGTGCGTCTCCAGTCTCTCTCTCTCTCCCTTCTTCAGTGCAGTGTTGAAAGTGTGAAGCAGTTGGTTCCCCCCCCCTCCCACCGCGCTCGCTCTCTCGCACACACGCACACACACGCACGCACACTCGCGCCGGCCCCACTGCGCTGGTAGTTTGCTCTCACTCCGGGCAGTGTTTGGCCACAGGGCACGCGCGTCGCCGGCCAGACCAGCACCCAGCTCACGTGCGGAACGTACCATCCGCGGTCCAGCCCGGAGGGGGGCGGGGGAGGAGGGGCCGGGCCAGGAGGGGGTGTCGGGAGCAGGCTGTGAGGGAAGGCGAAAGGCAGGAGGGGGCGGGGACACCTGATCAGGGCCACCGGAAAGGAAAAACAACTTCGGCCAAGCTATTCATCTTCCCAAAGGCGTTGCAGTCAGCTGGGGGAGGGGGAGGAGGCGCCGGGGGTGCGGGGCAGCCCGGGCTTCCTCGGCTCGGAAATGCTACTCCCTCAGTTCGTCCGTCATTACGGTGCAGGAACGTGAACGTGGCTTTTTGCTTCGCCACCGACTGCACTGGTGGTTTGGACCAGAGAAAGGAAAGAGAGAATTCACGGTGGGTAAACTTCAGTCCCGAAGGAACATGTGGAGACTTGTTTGCTCATCGCTCAGGGGCCTGGGGGGACCCCTTGGCCCTGGTTGGAGGTTGCCCCTTAATGGGGCAACTTGAAATCCGCTCCCTGAAGGATTTAAAATAAATGAAAATGTAGTCACTGGGTCAGAATGTCGCAATCCAAGTGTCTTTCGGCGACACGGTGTCCCTGAGCCACCCAAACTTCCCGCAGCAGCCGGAATTGCGGTGCCACTAATCACAGAAACAGATGACGACGATTGGGGCCTCTGGTGCTCCCAGAGGAACGCGGCGGGAGGGAGGGGGGAGGAGGGGGTGGCACAAGAGGGGCTACCGCGGAAAAGCAATGCAGCATTATCACTCGCCAGCTAAACTCCGTCGCCCCTCATCGCCTCGGGTGCTGCTGCGTGGTTCTCCCCCCCCACCAAGCCCCCCGCCCCCCGCGGTGTGATAAGCGACGCCGGGAGTGTGCAGAGCCCACGTTTACTACCGCTGGCACCTCCAAAGCCTCCCTCCTTAATCCTGTCTCAAACGGGTACCAGCACAGGGCCAGCAACGTGATCCGACCTGCCGCTGCTGCCACATCACTGCGCGGGGAACCCGTGCGCGCGCGCGCTCGCCCTGTAGCAGCGGCGCTCGGCGCGGGGAAGCGCAAGCCAGCACGAGCCGCGTTATCTTTCCCCAGAGCCATCCCGGGAGCATGACTCACTGCTAGCGAGAGTTACCAAGAGGTGCCCAGAGATGCGCACTGCCCACGCCGCCCGACGCAGCGGGCGACCAGGGGCCTTGGAGGCCGGGGGGGGGTAGGTGGGTGGGTGGGGAATCTCGTCCTGCGGGACTCCCAGGGCTCCCGCCCCGCTGCTGCCGCCACTCGGCTCTGCTGGGGGAGGAAAGGAGAGAATATATGTTGATTTCTCTTATATAAGTAGATAGGTATAAAAATCAAAGGTTTTTCCTTCCTGCAGCAAGAGTAAGGTTCAATTCTCCTGGGTTATCCCCGAAACCTTCCTTATTGCCAGCGGCGCATGAACCAAGGGGAGAAGTACGCCGAAGGAACACGCACAGGGGCGCAGCAGGGACTGGGGCCGTCGCTACGTGTCCCCCCCCTACCCCCACCCCGGCCCGCCCCGCACAGCGCGGGTTCCGGGGACGGATCTGGGTCGCGGGAAGCGGCGGCTGGGAGGAGGTCACGTGTCTGCGGGAGTCGCGTCTCCTCCCAGCCTCCAGGAGCCGCCCGGGCCGCGGCCACGGCGCGCGCTGCTGCAGTCTCCCGAGTGCTGGGCGGAGACGCGCCGCGTCTGGCTTCGTGACTCCCGCGGCGGCGGCGGCGGCGGCCCAGGCTCACCCCGGCAAGAGGAAACGCTCGCGGTCCGTCCACTTCGTCTCGGGAGAGGGCCCTTGAAGGTCTCTCGACTTCCTCAAATACGGGGACGTAGTTTGCACCAAACAGGCCGTTTAAGGAGAATACTTAGAAGAAGTAATTTTTAAATACTGATTTGATTTTAAACCTCTATTCAACCTCTCTCTTGTTTCCAAGTCATTGAGTGGTTATTTCTCTTTAGTGGGGAGGGCACTTTGATGCCCTACAAGTGGCATATGCCTGCAGTACTCTCTGCTTCTTCTAAATTGACCCGAAAGAGGGGGAGGAGGAGGATGCCTTTAAGGTGAAAGCTCCCCTTATAGGTTTGTGAATGTTCGAATTAGGACGAGGGTATAAGTGTTTGCTCCACAGCTAAATGTTCCCTTGAAAAGGATAGATAGAATATTTAGTGAAAAGAAGAAGGTCTGGATCACTTCATCTTGGTCTTGTCGGTAGAGCAGACAAGACACAAGGCAGACATCTGACTAGGGCCAGCCTTAGGGCCTAATTCTGGGGCCAACTCTAAAGCAGTTTAGAAGAGGAGGAAAAGGGAAAGAAGACTAGTGGATCATGGGTGTGTTAATGTTGGATGTACACTTCTCATCACTGGAAGATGGAGAGGCCTGTGGCTGCAAATGAAGCCTTTTGTGTTATTACTTGGATCTCCTCATCCTATCCCAAGCTTCCCTACCATGCCGACATTTTTGTTTTCTCTTCCAGTCCTTTCTCTTTCTGAAGCCCAGCCCAAACTGCGGATGGAGTCATTTCTAATTTTTTGGTTTCCTTTGTGATTCTCAGTCCTCCTTTTCTTCTTTCCTTTCCATGCCCATCTTTTTACTAATTTTTCTTTTTCTTTTCTTCTTTTCCCTTATGTTTTCCTCTTTCTACCTTTTCCCCATGAAAGGTCTGCTTTTGTTCTTCCTCTTTCGTTTTTACTTTTATCCTTCTTTGTTTTTTGTCTTTTTTCTTTCATTGTTCACCTGGGTAACTCTTCTTGCTTATCCACTTCCTTTAAAACCCGAGTCCTACTCCTTTTCTCAAACTCTTGCCTTCTGGAATATCGGGCATAGTTTAATGCTTTCTAATGTCCTTTTGCTGCAAGGAGGGTATGACAATAGCTAACATATAGCATTTGCAATTAGAGAACCAGAAAACCACTTTAGGGACCTTTTTGGTATGAACTCATTAATCTTTTCCACAACCTTATAAGGTAGATCCTATTATTGCCTCCATTCTACAGATGACAAAGTAGGTATGTTGGGAGATAGAAATAAATGTGCCTATGCTCCCAGAGCCAGGATTTAAGCACAGACAGTGGGCTCCAGAGTCTGTGCTCTTAACTATTAATACCCCTTGGTGGGGGGGTAATAGGGCCAAGGTCTGAATGTTAAGTAGCTGTGTTTTAAAAACACAGGTGTTTTAAGCAATTTACCAGTGTCAGTGTGCACATTTGTTGTAGTGTGTATGTGTGTAGGGGGGGGCATTGTTGGAAGAGAGGTGGGAAAGGGAGAGATGTTAGCATTGGAATAGATGGCAGAGAAAGAAAGTATGAGAGAAAGAATGGGGGCAGTCTTTTGTCAGTGATTCCATTGGCATCTAGCTCCAAATTTATTGATTTAAACCCAAATCTCCTAATTAATTGTTACAATTTCATACAGATGGACACATGGAAGTACAGTGTAGAAAAGGCTAACGTTGACCAGCTGTTCACCATTTCCACTGAGCAAACCAAGCCGAACTCTAATGTGAAGACTTCAGGTTAGTAATAGCAAAAGTTCACCTGTGGTGAGGTTAGAAAGGGGAAAAAAAACTCCCCTGTCTAACAAAGGAACAGAAGACTAGAATGCACTCTTTGGGTATGTTTAAAAATAGGTTGAGTCTTATCTTTTTAGGAAGGTTTAATGCTGTCCTGCTGAAAGCGAAGGAGATACAACATGAGCTTGAAACCCCTTTGAGGCTATAATTAGAGAATTTTGTGATGGCTTGCTTTCAATTAAAGATACCCATCTTTCTCCTTTTAATAGGTGAGGGGGAAACTGCTTCCATTGCTTTTCTTTGGTTAGGTAGGGAAATCACTACCTATAGAGACGCTAATGAAAGGGAACACTTATCCCAGTTCCCACCCCCTCCCCGCACCCCCACGTAAGTATTCTGAGCGCTACGCTCATTATATTCACCTTGTGACTTTGGAAGGTCTTATCCTGTTTGCTTGCAAAGTCTTGGATTTCCAGCAGAAACTGAACTCTCCTGAGAGGATTAAAGTTTCCATAAAGAAGAGAGGTTTTCTGCCTCTAGGGTTCTGCAAGCCGTACCACTCTCCCGGGAGGTGACTAGGGTGTTTTGGGATTCCCAGTCCGATTCAAACTAAGCGCCCATCTCTAATAGCCTTAAAGACCCCAGAGCTGCCCGAGGGTGTGAATCTTCTTGCCCGTACTACTGTGAAAATACCCTGTTAGAGGGGCAGATGTCTTTCTTAATCACCTCTGTTTTGGGTGGTGGACAGAAAATTTACAGTTACTCTACATTGTTTTACATCAAAAAGGGAAAGGGATCCCACGAAGCAGAGTTCATAAAAATCTGAAGTAAAAAGTTTACGGTTAATGCTAAAATGAAGGCGGCGGGGGTGGGGGGGTGGGGTTGGAGGTAGAGTGGGATGATAGATTAGGGGTAAATTAAAACTTCCCCTGGAGTCCTTTCTCGGGGCATGCACGGTGCTTTCAGCAGAGAAACGTTAGTGTTGTCAGGCATAACACAGAAAGAAGGCCACCTGATGCAAGGATCTTAGAAGGGAGGGAAGCCCCAGTGCTACTCTCCAGAAGCCAAATATAACTTCTCAATATTGATAATGCTATTTTGTGAAGGTACCAGATTTAAAATCCCAGAATAGAAGGTTGGGTTTTGGAGTTCCATACTCAGCAAATTAGCAGGAACAACACAAGTGTCTCTGTTTAATTTGTAAAAGAACTGAAGTCTTTCTGTAGACTACCAATTAATGTGTCTGTGGTTGTAAACATACAAATGAATCACGTTTTATATTTATGTTAACACTGCTCGAGACGTTTATGCACTTACTTGTCTTTACATAGCACCAAGGAGCAGGTAAGAGGAAGTAGAGGAAATGAATTTTATCACTGCTGAAACCTTTGTGTTTTTGTATTTATGTGATTATCACAAGCAGTCATGCAGGTTATCCTGAATTTAATATATGCTTCAAATTCCTAGAGTGATCACAGACAAAAGACAACTAGGACAGAGACAACTATAAGGGGGATCTCCCTGGCTCTCCTCTCCTTAAGTATCTGCCTGGTCTCTCTGGGTGCCCATGTGCTTAAAATTCTGATTGAACCCAGAAAAGTAGAGTGTGGAGCACGTGAAAGCCCATAAGGATTTCCACAAAGTGATCCCTACCTCTCTCTGGATTCTCCTGGACTAGCTGGATAGTGGAATCCAGAGAAGCTGCATTAAGATGGGGTCTTTGGACTCCTTTCCCCCCCCCCTTGTTACTGCTGATGAAGATCTGTAGAAAGTTTTCAAAGAGATACATGTTTATGCATTGTGAAACACAACTAGGAATAAGAAGTACTAGACAACCATTTATCTCACCTGCCCGTTATAGGCATGGTCCTTGGATAGTGATTTCAGATGGTGTCGGCCCAGTGCAGAGAGCCATCTGCTAACAGAGTCTGGTACTTTATAAAGGCAACAAAAAGATTAGCTAAGGAGGATTTAATCTACACTTAGAACTATTGGTAAAATTTATTCGACAGCTAACTTAAAGCAAGAATTTGTATCTAATTATCCAAAAAAGTAATATGGTTCTGATATTAACTTATAATCCTCATTGACAAGGAAACTGATGGAAATCTAGGCTAGATGTATCAGTTAAGAGCTGCGTCTGAGCTTTTCTTATAATTTCCACCCAATAACTTTTCTTAAAATTTTCACCCAATAACTTCTACTTACATCTATGTAGAAGTACAGTTTTTTAGTTGAGGTCCTCCAATAATGTAGGGGTTCTTTTAGTACAAAGGGAGCAGAGAATGGATATTGGGTTGGCACTAGCCATCTCTGTGGTGGTCTGACTAAAGGAAATGGCTTGTTCAGGTCCTCTTCTTTTTTTCATCAGTGGGTCTTCTTTCTCTTCTACACCATATGTGTTGGCAGTGTCCCTTTATTGTATGAGGGTATTTAATACCAATTTCAGAAAATTTTCAGTCTTTCCATCTGCAATTGCCCAAACTTAACTAGCTCCTTAAGCACAAGCTCCTTAACATCTGTATTCTTAAGTGCTAATAATTACAGAAATCTGCTTAGGGAGGGAATTTAACAGGGTTTGCTCTTCTTCCCGTAGAACGCAAACTGCAGCTGCATGTTTTCTGGGAAATGATTGTCTTCTTTTTA